AAGCGTGCGCGCTCCACTTTGCGTTGGAACGGGGGCCTATCCCATAACCTAATTAGTGAGCGCCCGTGTGAGAGGGCTTCCTGTTCAAAGATGCAGTTTCAGGCTCGTTTCGAAAGCAGGCAAAGACATCCCGCTATATGGCAATCTTTCAATCTATAATTATATGCAGTAGTGACAGGTTCGAGGTCGTTAGATTTACTGCTTTTAAAACCTACAGTTAGGCATCGGTATTACATTCTCTCGCCACCAACATATGTCGCTGACCTCGCTGACCCCTCCAGTGGGCAAGTCATGGGATTAGTCATGATCAGCACTAGACGAAGGACAACTAATGGGTGGAAGAAGCATTCTCGAGCAAGAGTGGATTGATCTTGAAACGGAAATATTGAACAAGTGTTTTGTGTCGTTTCGAGAGTAGACGAGACGAGGGTGCGACTGGGTTGACTACTCCTGTGTCATATGACCACGCCGGGTAAAAAATGCTTCAACTCCAGGCCGAGAAGACAGTAATGATCGACCACTTGAATCACAAGTTGTTGCCGCGTCGGCTGTGATCAGAATGGATCCAGAGTTAGAAACACTTCAGCCATTAATTGCGATGCGACAAACTAAAGGAAACATTTCTGGATCCATATTTTCGGGGTTTGGTCTACTAGATTGATGATTTGTTTAAAGGTGGTCATCTAAAAGGGTTGGTGTAGTAAAATCTGAGGCCAAAAAAACGTGAATCTTCCGCACTACAACCCGAAAGAGTAACCACTACCAACACCACCGGCTCCATGACACTATTGCATGGAGATACCAACGTGATGACGGGGTTTAAAAGTAACACACAGAGATGAGAATCTAATCTCAGGGTGCCCCTTTAACTAGAAAAATAATAATCGTTTGGCAAGTGGCTGTTTTGATAAAGCAGCTGTATTCGTTCCTGATGCGTCGTTTTTAGGGTCTAATGCATTATGAAAATAGTATATGCCTCGAAAATCACATGGGTAATGTTGTGGGGCCCAATGGTGAGTTAAGTGTCTTACCAACTGTGTCATGCAACGGCAGAATATCGACAAAATCCGTGTCTGGGTTTTTAGCTGGTGTATGTGCTGGCAGTGGTGAAAAATGCCAGGTCTGTCTACTATGCCGGCTCGTAATGTTTACGATCTGATCCAAATCTGTGTGAAATGTTTTGAAACCATTAGAAGACCTAGCAAGAAAACACAAATGAATATATAAATTGGTTCCTGGTAGAATGTGCTGTGTGTGTGAATGCGGGTGAACGGTCGAACTCTTTAAGAATTAACTGCTCCTGTTTCCTGGTGCAAAAGTTGAACATGGCACAAGTTTACACAGCATACGTGTGAACATGCAAATCCTGAGTATCGCTTATGGTAAAAAGGACTAACGGCGTGGCGTTGTAGCTCAAGTGGTAGTGTTGGCTGCGTGAAGGCCTTCCCTGCTATGCGGGTTCAACTCCCGTCGACGCCGCGAGTTTTTTTACAATTGCTTCAACTAAATAGGACTGAACCCATGTCTTGACGGTAACGAAATATTACTGTTTCAGCAGTAGGCTTTTATAAATGTAACTGAAAGTATGCTATTAAGTAGGATACTCTGGGCTTGCAGTCTATTTTGCACGAAATACAGCGTGGGACAATACAAAATTGGCCGTAGTGGCCACATACCTTAAATGACACGAGGGCGGAAATATCGGCGAGAATATGCGCCACCAGGAAAACTCCGATAACGTCCTGCATGATCCATCCGACGCTGTTAAAAGGCAAAGAAAGAGGTAGAGAGAGGGGGGAATTACGCTCGGCAGAATGACTTAGGACAACGAGGCGGTCTCTACCGCCAGCCTGTGCAGACGGCTGAACAACCAGCTACAAGGATTTGAGAGTACGCAGAGTGCAGAGTGGAGTTTGTGAAGGCAAGACCCGAAGACCATTGCGTATACACCTCCCTTAGGGATAATGGCGACACTTTCGGTCGTATCTCAAAGATTTTGTTGTGTGGGTACATGTGCACACGAGCTCTGCTTACGCGACTGGTTAAGGCCTCAGAACACGTGATACCCTGCTTTTTCCGAGGCTGAATGTCACTAAAACCTTTGTATGGACAGTGCAGGATAGTCTAAAAAGGCTCAAACATAAACCTGAACCCCTAGTTGCCAGAATAGAGGAATAACAGAGCAGGTCGTGTGAGTATACGCTCATAAAGGGAGCAAAGATGCGTCAACTACTAGTAAAACAACACTCAGTAATGCAGCAATTAGCCCCAAAGATTTGAACGCAGCACGGCAGATTACTAGAAGAGGTAAAAGGTGTGTCAAGTAGGTAAGGATGACCTCTATAGCCTCTTAAACAGGAGATGAGAATAAGAACGCGCCCACTCAAGCAATAAAGGCGGCTCTGCGCACAAATCAAGGAAGAGTAAGTACTCGAGTATTCTAAATCCAACAATATCCCTAAGCATAAACCTAACCCTACCATAGACCCTAAGAGTTCGACCGTCAGTTTCGATCATGTCCCCCACGTGCCTCAGAACAGACTGGTAGCATACACGGGGACTGAACCGTGAATTCCTTTATAGTGAGATTAGACTTGCGCTGCATCTACCGCACTCCTTTACTCTTCGCCACCTGAGACTGGTGTCAGGACCAAATGC